TTGCGCTTCCCAGGTGAGGCAATGCCTCGCCCTGCTTCAGCTCTTGCTGGTCGGGCTGCAGCAGCTGACCAGCACCGATTGTCCGGCACTCCCTAGTGAGATGAACCCAGTACCTCAGTTGAAAATGCAGAAATCACCGGTCTTCTGTGTCGCTCGTGCTGGGAGTTGGAGACTGGAGCTGTTCCTATTCGGCCATCTTGCTCCGCCCAACCCAGCTGAATTCTAATTGGTCAATACAGCTGAGCCTTGATTGGCAGAAGCAGGGGAGCTGAAAAGCCCCAGAATAATAAGGTATGTCTTTTGGGTGAACTCAGAACGTGTGTGTGACCCTCGTTAGCAAACGGCCCCTTGGCTCAACTTTAAATGTAGGCCCAGTTAGCCACTCAGTATGCATCTTGAAGGATTGGCTCAAACTTGTTGACAGACAGAGTTAGCCACTCAGGATGCATCTTGAAAGATGGGCTCAAACTTGTTGACAGACAGCATTGCATTCCATCATGGCGTGGAAGTGATTAGCTACCTGCTTCAGGTTTATATGGTCTTTTCTAGGGATCCTGGTGGCAGAGCAGTGGCCAACTGAGCAACTAGAGCCATTTACTTACAAAAGGCACTCAGGTACCTTTTAGATTCTAATCAAAGTCTCCCAGGTTATGTTGATTCTGGTTCCTGTCTAGAGTAAATTTAAAGTCTCAAGGGTTAGGTCAGCATGATCCAAGTGTCTTGCAGATGTCTATTAAAACAGGCTAGAACAGCTGGGTGCAGTGGCTCACACCTGTAATCCCAGCACACTGGGAGGTCGAAGCAGGCAAATCACCCGAGGTTGGGAGTTTGAGACTAGCCTGACTAAGATGGAGAAATTCCATCTCTACTAAAAAATACAAAACTAGCCGGGCATGGTGGCGCATGCCTGTAATCCCAGCTACTCAGGAGGCTGAGGCAGGAGAATCACTTGAATCCAGGAGGCAGAGGTTGCAATGAGCTGAGATCCCACCATTGCACTCCAGCCTGGGCAACAAGAGCAAAATTCCATTTCCAAAAAAAAAAAAAAGAAAAGAAAAAACAGGCTAGAACAATTTGAAAGAGTACCCAAGTGATTAGTCCAAATAGAAGGATCATTAATATTTGTAGGATGGAACACAGAAGGTATCCTAGACTAGAGACAAAAGCCAGCTGAAAATAGGTGGGAATTGTACATTCAAGCCAGGAAGTCTAGCCAGGAGGCTTTTTGAAGGTGTCCCTTTCAGAAATGTGGCTAACTTTAGAATCGTAGATGTTTCCAATTCAATGTAGCTAGATATATTTACCTAGGTGCAGCAGCAAATGTTAGCAACAGCACCAACATCACCCTGTACAGCAAGGAGAGAGTCTAAGACAATGTCGTTGTCTAGGACCACATGAGCAAGGGAGTTTGGGATTTCTGCTGTGCTCTGATGGTTTGGCCAGTGGAATAGGTCATTCTATTAACAGTACAAGAAAGATTTCTGACCATATATTCATTCCAAGCAGGGCATAGTCCAAACTCGGACCCCAGTAACCTTCCTTATCTGGCTGCTTTGCTAGAGTTAATCCTTCTGCGTAAATCACGTCCTTGGTAATATCCCCAACTATAATCTAAGAGATTATCATTAGTGTTCAGTTGTGTCTCCAAGACTCTCAGGTAGCTCTTCAGGTAGCAGTGGCGAGACTAGCTGAATAGATTAAAACTTGAGTTACTCATTTCTGTAGCCAAATCTCCTGATGAGGATAACTTAGGTATTGTTTTTTGCCTTTTGGTGAAGGAAATATGGGCCTGAGAGGTTTCTAAGAAGTCTCTTCAGGCTGAAGTGCTTCGTCACTTATCAAATGTTCCCTTATCAGACCTTGAAACCCCAGCTCTCCCACATCTTGTTTGTCCTATATTCTTAAATTCTCACATGAAACACCTTCTTTCCATAATGATTAATGGTGGATTTTTTTCCATGACCAAATCCAGACTGATTCACCAACATTTAGTATAATAATATAATTCTAATAGAGAATGATTCCAACATTCCCAAAAGTGTTCACTCTTCTGTGCCCCTACACTTTTCCCACAATATGAGCACTGGGTAAAAACAGATGAGTGATTTGACTAGAAGATGGTGTCTATAAAGCCATGGTCTGACGACACTGATTTAGACCATTTTTGTTCTATAAAGATATACAACGCTATGTAACTTCTTCATATATTCTCTCATCCTGAACACATGTTTTATAAATATATATGAAATTTCATATATTTCACACATCTGGCCATTTCTTCTTCCATGCAAAGTGCCCAGTCAGGTGCACTGCTCAAAGTTCTGCCCACTGGGAAGATTTCCCTTCACCACTGTCCTTCAGGGATGTCCTAGAAAGGGGCTGTAGTGCTGCAGCTGTCCACTTTTGGGTGGTGCCTGCAAATTATGCAGAACCATCTGTGAACCAGCCCTGGTCTTCTCTTCCTCTGTTAACTGATCATAGGGAACTTCCCCATGAAGTCATCGGTGCAGCCTAGGGGAGAGTAGGCAGGGTGGCAGGAATGGAGACCATGAGTATTTGAGCCACTTCCTCATGTAACTTACCTGTGCCTTCAGGACCTGCTTGAGACTGATCACGAATATATCACTTCCATTTGATGGTGGAATGCTGCTGTGTACAACCCAATTTGTGGCCAGATAGGTCAGAGAGCACCCAGTTCATAATAGGCAGTTCGG